GGGCTCAAAGGGAATTATGGGACCATGTTCCTCTTGCATCTCTTGCTTTCCAGTCAAAGGAAGAATGGCTTTGCTGGGTTACATGCTCCATTGTGTTGGATTACCACATTCCCAAAGTGATAGGGCACCTTATCATGAACTAAACCTGCCAAAGAGGTGTCCCTGATTGACGACTTGACAGAAAGTTCACCAATATAATTCCCACTGAGTAAATTAATGTGTAGGAACCATGTGATTTAAATGAAAATACCTCCAGGAAGGCTTGTAATTTTACAAGATATTTCAGTTTATTTTAAAAAAAATATCATCATGGCGTCTAATGTTTCCAGAATGTCCTATGAATGCCAAAAGAAGGGTGTTTGTATGATTTGGAGTACGAGGTTAGAACTGATTCCTTCAACAAAGCAAATAGCTCATTTTGAGATTATGCTGGTGTAAAGTATCATTTGCTTTTCTATAGATGGAAAATGGTATAACCAACTCCAGTTCTTTTGATTCTCATTCTGATGAACATGAAGACTCCTCAGAATGCTGGCATGAGCAGCAGACACAGAGATTCATGTGGGAAAATATGGACATATGAGACAATAAGTCTCAGGGTGCTGGTGGGGGCCCTGCACTCTTTGACGCCCCAAGATCAAATGAGCCCGTTCATATTATGTGTAGTGGCAGTGGTTGCACATAAAGATCTCCTGTAGGTTGTTTTATGGATGGCATTAAAAAATAATAAAATCAAAACCACTCCTGACCCTCCCCACCAAAACAACACCAAGAAAATTGTTATGCCAGGGTTTCCTCTTGGTTTCCAGGATGTGACCCTGGGAAGGACCGGGAGACAGATGCCCTACTCCAGGTGTTATTGACTTATTGACCTATGGACTTTCCCCCAAGGAATCCACAGCCATTGGGGGAAACACATAAATGGCCAAAAACATTTATAAATGTTTTTGATGAGTGCTCAGTAGGCAACCTACATTAGCATAGAGAGAGAGACATTAGGCACTGAGAGTCCAAATAGGCTTGGATAGTACTGCCAAGGACTAGCTTGGACAAAGCTACAGGTTGTCTCAGCCTTGTACCCTGTTACTGGCAAAGGCTGAAGTCTCTCCTGCTAGCGTTCCTGCATCTACCTGATATTCCTTCCAGTCTTGGTTTCTTAATTGAAAGGGGCCGGGCGGTGGTGGCGCATGCCTTTAATCCCAGCACTCGGGAGGCAGAGGCAGGAGGATCTCTGAGGTTGAGGCCAGCCTGGTCTATAAGAGCTAGTTCCAGGACAGGCTCTAAAGCTACAGAGAAACCCTGTCTTGATAAAACCAAAAGGAGGAGGAGGAGAAGAAGAAGAAGAAGGAGGAGGAGGAGGAGGAGGAGGAGGAGGAGGAGGAGGAGGAGGAGGAGGAGGAGGAGAAGAAGAAGAAGAAGAAGAAGAAGAAGAAGAAGAAGAAGAAGAAGAAGAAGAAGAAGAAGAAGAAGAAGAAGAAGAAGAGGGATGAACCTCTACGGTGTCATTGACAAGTGTGAATTTAACAGATCTGTGGCGTCCTCTCCCCTATGGTAACTCAGGGACAGGGTTGTTGGGGTTTTTTTTTTTTTTGTTTGTTTGTTTGGTTGGTTTTGTTTTATTTTTAAATCTTTCTCATATTAATCTGAACGTTGAAAAATTAGAGAGATGATAAACTGTCCTCAGTTATTAAACTGCTGCTCCATATAACAGGAAGCCATCAGGATGGGTCAACAACTCAAGGCCCTTGCCTTCCAGCCTGACTATCTGAGTTGAATCCATGCAGAGAGAGCCTTCTCTCAAAAATTGTTCTCTGATCTCTACACCCACACCCTGGCACACATTCTTTGTCCCCATCCCCACCAAATAAATAAATAAATAAATAAATAAATAAATAAATAAATGTAAAAAAAATTTTAAAAAATTGCCCTCAGATGTATTTGTAGCTTTGACAGCTGAAGGACAGTCACTATTACTCCCCAGTATAAATTACTGCAAGAGCCAATGTACTTCTTGAAAAGAGCCAAACAATGGTGTCAGGCTTGAGTGTTGTGATCCATACGGTTCCACTGAAACCACTGAGCCACCGCCCTCCATTCTTGTATGGCAGCATGAAGTCAGAGCGGGAAGCTAAGCAGTAGATCACTTGCTTCGATTTAGGCTCTGAGTGTGATGCCCAGAAGTGCAAACAAGAAGAAGCAGGTAGTGGTCTCTCCGTGTGCTGTTTCACAGACCCCTGTCTGCAGCGAATGGGTTTGAGCTCAGAGCTTACCTCTTTTCCGTAAAATGAGAAGATGGCACCGTAGCTTCCTCGCAGGACATTCGTGGAGGGGAAATGAATTGACATATGCAAAGCATTCCTCTGTTCAGGAACTTTCTACTTGAGAGCGTAGTTACAATCAAACTTTCTTATTACCGCAAAGTGCGTACCTCAAACTTAACGCTTTGATGATCATGTCACAATACCCCTTTGACTCTGTGACACAGGGCCTTGCAGCCTTTGGCAAGGTATCCTCCTAGAAAGCCAAGAGGCTTCTGAATCCCTTCAAAGAAAGAATGGAGGAGAAAAAACAAAAACACTGTGACATTCCCTCTGCCACAGCACTGACCACCAGTTGGGAAGATCCCTCATCTTGTACTTTTACTATTGGTGACACTGGACTTTTGGCACAATACAGAGTCCCCAAATGAATGAGAAGGATGTGGGTATAAAATTTTAAAGGGGTCTGATGTGGGTTGTATGATAGAATTGGGAACAAGGATGTGTCCAGACTCCAAGGTCACATGTGTGTTTAGGGACAATGGATGTATATTCTCTTTTTCCTTTCAAATTCAGTCACTGAACCCGCAGGTCCTTTGCACAGAATTCTGCAGTGGACGGTTTGTAGCATTTCAAACTGGTAAGTTTCACCTCCGATTGCATCATCGGCTCTATTGTTCCTTGTGTTTTTCTTGTGGCACAGCGCCTGAAATTTGTACACAAGTATTAATCTTTTACAAGGGCATTGTTGACATTTCTTGTAATCATTTATTTGAGTCATAAAGCTCTTCTTCAGTAAGTTGATGGTGCCTGCCATGTTCAAGTACTGCCAGGAACTAGCTGATCTTGAAAAGCACCATAAGGCCAGAGCCCAGACAGCCAGGTTGGGAGCTAGAATGGACTTCAGCTCTTTCCATGGTTCTGACACCAATCAGCTCTATGACCTGGAATAGCAAATAATTCTGTAACAGAGAGATAGTTGTCAGACTTTTTTTTAGAACTCAGTTTCCTTATCAGAAATAACAAACTCAAACTAGTAACACATGACACCTGTCCATTATACGAAGATGGGTGATACCCTTGGAAGTCCCCTTAGAGTCCTCTCAAAGCTCCCTCCTCATGTGTGCACATAATGGACTGGTTAATTAGAGTTTTAGGTGAAAGTGCCTGGATGTGGCCTGGCAGGTTACAAAGGCAGAACTGGGAACAAACGGAGCAACAGGTCATGCGGTCCTCAAGTGGAAAGCAGAGGTTTTGTTCTTCTCTGTGCATCCCTGGGATCAGGGCCCAAGGATGTCACCTCCCTGCATCTGCAATGTCGTCTTCAAAATAAAAGTCATCATACATTTTATTTCTATGATCTAGGGCCAGTACATTAAATAAAACAATCTTTATAAAAGCCCCTTTAGACATTAAAAATTAAAATCTGATCTAAAAGCCACCAAGAAGGCATAAAGGACCCTTTCAAACACTACAGTTGAAGAAATCAGCGTCTCACGAAACATTCGAAAGGACTGTTAGTCATGCCTGCGGAACACTTTCTTTATGGCTGCTGGAAGCGAATCCTCGTTAGCACGATGATGCATTGCCCCAGTGAGGCCTTTGAGTGACAAGATTCTAATACTGTTAGAGAAATCCATGAAGTCCAAACAGCCTCACCTTGTCCGAAGTGTTTTCTTAACGTGCACATCCATCGTGGCGGGAGCAGAAAAAGGCTCTGAGATTGGGCTGGATGGAGGAGGCTGATAGTCACGTGTCCCCTGCATCCTGAGAGGCTGTGTGAGCAGTCCCAACAGCTCTGGGTCCCATCCAATGGAGGGGACAAAGACTGGGGATTCTTTTAGAAAATGTCTCTGAGCGGCGACATTGTCCGACACAGTTTCTTTGATAAAGGCCTCATTATCTGTCTGTGTGACTTTGCTCTTGGTTTTGATGCTGGCAGTGCCAATGAGAGCATATTTAAGCAAATCCTTTTACCCCGACAGCTGTAGCAGCGCCCTGACAATGTGTGCCAGCGCTCCAGGCTTGGGTGTGGAATACAATCAACCATGGACTAAATTTCCAATTAGCTGAATCACCAAGGAACGTAATTTATTAGCTTGCCTTTGACTCTGCTCGCCCTTCCCCGTCACTTTTCTAAGGCAAGCTCATTTTCAGATGAAAAAAGAGCAGAGAATGCCTTGGAGTGGTTTCTGGAATTCAACTGGCATGTGATTTCAGGGGCTGCGTGGGTCAAAAGAAGGCCACTCTAGAACACTGGTGGGGGGTGGGGTGGGGGAATGACCTCAAAGCAAAGAAATCAACACAGTAATCCACAATTGAATTGTTCTAGGAGATGGTCTGAGAACAGTAGTGGGAAGATCTACCATCCCAGTCTGAAACAGGTCATTACGACGTCTTCTCTAAGAGGAGGGGACTGAAATCAGATGAAAAGTCAGGAAACCCAAAGCTCAGAGAACTGCAATTTTTGTGAAGAAGAAAACAAGTTTTAATTAAAGTAAGGTAACTGACATGTTCCTCTTCATCAGACAATCCCCAGAACATGGTCCCGGGCACACTCCACCAGGCACCTAGGAGATTTGAACAGGGATTTTTTTTTTTTTTTTAATAGTCAGGATGAAATATTCAGCAATAGTCTCCACCACATTTACCCATTAGCAAGAACATTTCCATCCAGCCAGGACAGGGCGTACCTGTAATTCCATCCCTTGGGAGCCCGAGACAGCTGGGCAGCTAGTCTCAGGCCAGCCTGGGCTACACAGTGAGACCCCCTTTCCAAAACAGCAGCCGGAGAAATAGCAATCTTGCAGCGAATCATCCTGCATCCAAGTTTCCCTAGACTCAGGAAGGGATTACGGTGAACGAGGAGGTTTTCAGGTTGCTATGCAGGCTGTGTACTAAAGGAGAAAATCGTATCAAAGACAACATCAGTAATGGCATGTACTTTGTAGACTTGAATATTTATTGCAACAGCTTTATGGAAGACACTAGAAAACTCCCATTGTTCTCAGCAAAATTAATAAATCATTGCAAATCCTGGCAGAACTTAGAACGCCAGGGAGGGGAAAAAAAAAGCTATCCTGTTTTTTTCTTATGTCTTTAGTATGGCATAATTGGCACAATGAACTGCACAGACTTGATGTGTAAAATTTAGGGAGTTTTAACAGACACCTGAGGCCAAGAATCCATCAGCATCATAAAGACAATGAGCAGAGTCATCATGCCCCCAAAATTTCTGCATGCCTTTGCTTAGACACTCCATCTCTCCACGCCTACATCAACCCAGCAGAGCAGCAATCAATCATTAATCACAGAGCAATTCGCATCCTCTAACATTTTAAGTGCATTTAACAAGCCCTTTTAGACCATTTATTTTGGACTCTCTCTCTCTCTCTCTCTCTCTCTCTCTCTCTCTCTCTCTCTCTCTCTCTCTTCATTTGTAATTTGAAATTGACCCCTGTTTTTCCTACCAGCAGTTGACTCCTTAGTTCTTTTGCTTCTGCACCTTCGGATACTACTGAAAAGCAGGATCCCCCAATGAGCAAACACCAGAACTTGCTTACTCCTTCTCCTGTTCATTGCTGGTGGCCGTGCAAACAACACGCGTGTGAACATTCACAGTCTTCTGGTGGGCCTGGACTTTCATTTCTCTGGACCGAACACGTAGGAGAGGGGCAGCTTGATCTTATGGTAGATATACACTTAACTGCTTAGCTGTTTTCTTGACTGTCCCAGTCCATACCGCCTCTGCCAGTGTAAAGGAACCACACTTGTCCCGTGTCCTTGCCATGACTTGGCATGGCCAACCACTGGAATTTTAGTTCTCAGTAGACCAGGTATAACTATGTTATTTCATCGTACATTCTTTTTTTAATCTGACAGCCATTTATTGAGAGCTTAGAGAATGCAAAATAACATTTCTCAAATAAATTTTTTTGTTTAATTTTTAAAAATGTTGTTGCATTGAAATGGCTTTAATGTCTGTTATAAACCTGTAGTGCAGTAGGAAGAGTTATGTTCACAGCATCATGCAGCCATCCCCAGTTTGCTTCAAATTAAGCCCTTCCTGCCTTGCTACTCTGAAACCTCCCTTTCTCTCGACGAATTTGCCTATTCTAGATATCTCATGTCAATAGAATGATATTTCCGCGTGGTTTTTCTCTCACTAGGCATGATGTTTTAAAAAGTTCATCTGTGTCCAGCAAGTTCACCAAAAATATTTTCTCTTATGTATACGCACATAAGCAAATGCTTCCTGTGTTACATGGAGGTATTTATCCACTCATGTGATGACGGACATTTGGATGGTTCCCAGCTTTGGGCAATTGTTGAATATGGCTGAATATTGTTCACAGTTCCTGTGAACATGATGTATAAGTGTCTGATGGACATTTGTGGGTTTCATTTGTACTTCCCCATGGGTTTTTATGTGTGAATTGGTTTTTCATCCATATATTTTTTTTGTTGAAATTTTGTTTGAAACCTTTCGACCACTTTTCAAAACCATAATTTTTATTATTCAGTTGTAAAACTTTCAAATGTACTTTTACCAAGTTTGCTTTTAATTTTCATAGTAGTATAATTTGGGGAGAAATATTTTGAACATTGATAATGTCCAACATATTATTTTCTTTTCTTTTCATCCAATTCAAATTTTTGCGTCCTAATATTCTGGAAAGCTTTTCCAGGCCTACCCAAAACATTGAAAAGTTGTATTGCTTTAGCTGTTAAATTTAAGCTGATGATCCATTTCAAGTTAATTTGTATATAGTGAGCGGTAAGGTCAAAGCTTGCTTTTCCTTGTACACAACTTCCCACATGCCCCATGACCATTGATGGGTTACAACACATGTAGACTGGTGGTATGTTGGCCCCACTGACCTGGCCGAAAGTCTGGATCTGGTTTATCTGCCTTTCAGGTGTGCTGCATGCACATCACCCACGCTGTAATGTTTTAACAGTCACAGATACAGGAGTTTAGCAGGGAGTCGGAAGTCCTGCCCTTCATACCGCTCTCCCTTACTGAGTGCTCCCTTACAGGGCGGTTTATAAGGAAATGCATAAATTTTGCTTGTTTTATATTTTATTTGCTCAGCCAAGCTTATTGCTTCAAAGTTTACCTTCTTGTTGAAGATGGTTTGAAGAGAAGATATTAGGCAAAATGTAATTGAAATGCTCATAATTGAAGTGCTACTAAAGTGCCTCATTACTCCCCTTTCATACCCAGAGAGTCAGTCATCTAGCATGACAGTACTGGCATACGTGAAGCCTGAATTCCATTTCCAGTATCACATACACACTCACGCATGCACTCCCATCCACTTACAAGAAACAAGGGTCCCCAGGGCATATGCCGTTATCAGAGATTTGTAAGCATGCAACCATGCACTTAGTCTTTCTCTAGAATACAGAGGGCGGTTCCCTCTTTCAAAACTTCAAACGTAATAGCTTTAATAAGCTCATTACACCTAGATGGGAATTATAGGAATGCTAGCTTCTTGAATTCTCACTCTGATATTAAGCATCTTAGTCAATTTTTTTCCTTTTTCAGAGTTCATAGTATGTATTTAACCTAGATACTCATAAAAAGATATTAAGCTAAGTAACATGCAGCTTGGATTCACCCCCAAGTACTTTTCAACTATCAGGCAGGAAAAAAGGGAAAGAAAAGTACTGGGCAAAAGACCACAGTGTTTGATTCCAAGGCCATCAGCCATGGTCCTCACCAGTCACCAGCTCTGAGTCATCAAGTGCCGACAATTTCCATGGTATTGAGGAGCAGAAGATGTGGGATGGGTGCATCTTCAGATCAGCACTGAAACACCTCAACATCCTTCGCCTTACTTATTTTAAATTCACAAAGTGGTGACAATCATATTCTTGGCTTAACCCACATTAAGAAAGAAAAACAAAAATCCAAAACAATGATTTAATTGCTACCACATAATAATTGGAATATTTCCCATAAATGCAGATTTTTAGTGTCTCTCTGCAAACTAAAAGGTGTGGAAAACCTGAACTTAGAGTCGAGGCAACAACTCTCAACTAGCCTCCAGCACCAGCTGCTCTTCATGAGAACAGATGTTTTGACACATGACAACCTTGCTGAAGATACCTTTCCCACCTGCAGTTCCTAAAAGCTGGCTTCACCTTAGTGTTATGTGAAGATACTTAAAAATAATTGATGCTCATGGCTTACTTCTGGACATTTTACATAATCCATCTTGGGGATACAGGGCAGATCTTGGATGTTGGTAAATTCTCTAGGCAATTTTGCAGCGTGATCAAAATTGAGGGCCACTTGGATACGTCATTTAGCCTGCATATGTATCACCTGGCCATCTTGTTAACTGCAGTTGTGAGCCAGTAGGTCTAGGATAGGACCTCGTATTCAGTCTTTCTAACATGCTCTTAGTTCTGACAAAGCTTCTAGTCTGTGGGCCTCATGTTGAGTTAGATTCCAGAAAATTTGTATTCATTTAGTTTGTGTTTGGGACTCTAAAATACATACAGGTTTCAATCCTGATGGAAGCATATTCTAAGATGACAGTTAATGCACTGGCTGGAGTACAGATGGTCAGCCAGTAACAGCATCCTACTGACTTTTTGTTGTTGAGGAAGGATACCATCTCCGTTTGCTTTGTCCACTCAAATTCTTCCTCTATAATGCAGGTTCTTGGTTGACTCTGATTTCCAAACCATCTTTGCTGCTTTGTATTATAAGTGATATTCCTGTATTTGTGGAGGGAGCTGCACATCTTCTGACATTTTTAGGCACCAGCCAATGCCAATGCCAACAATTTGACCAGTACCAGTTGAACTGTATGTCCTGGTTAGTCTGTCTGTCTTTCTTTCTTTCTTTCTTTCTTTCTTTCTTTCTTTCTTTCTTTCTTTCTTTCTTTCTTTCTTTTTCTTTCTTCCTTCCTTCCTTCCTTCCTTCCTTCCTTCCTTCCTTCCTTCTTTCTTTCTCTTTCTTTCTTTGATCTTGTTTTGTTTCTGTTGATTTGACATGTCTTTCGGGAAGAAGGGAATCTCACCTGAGACAATTCCTTGGTTATATTGGCCAGTAGGCAAGTCTGGGAGAAATTTTCTTGATTAACTCTTAATATGGAAGGACCCAGACCATTGTAGGTAATGTCACCCCTGGGAAGGTGGTCTTGGATCAGTGAGGAACAAGCTACAAGCAGTTCCTCCATGACCTCTGCTTTAGCTCCTGCCTTGGCTTTCCTTCAGGATGGACTGTAGAATATAACATAAAATTAGCCCTTTCCCCCTAAAGTTCCTTTTGGTTTTGGTCTTTATCCCATCAACAGAAAGCAAACTAGAACACTGTGTCTATATGACGTATGAGCATTTTATTGGAGTGGTTTCCAGGATGTCCCCTAAGCCCCAGGGCAACCATTCTCAAACCCCAGGGTGCATGCATCAAATGACCTGGAGTTCCCTAAACAGCTTTTTTTTCTCACTCCAATCTGACATTTTTGCCTTAGTGAAGACACTGAATTTAAATTTCCAGTAAGCTTCAAGGAGATGCGCATGGCTCTGACTGAAGTATCTGGAGGTGTTGTAGAAAAGAAAGGCAGGCGAGTCGCACAATGGGCCCCCGCCTTATCATATCAGCGTCTTGCTTTATAACAGTTACATTTTGTGTTTACAGATAAGATTTTACTCAAGAGAAAGTTACTAGAAAACACAAGTTTAAGGCTGTGCCTCAGAGGTTAGGAACTTGTCATGCAAAGGAAAATACCCGAGTTCGGATCCCCAGCATTCAAGTCAACACTGGGTGGGCATAGGGGCTCAGCTGTAATCCCAATGCACAGGAAGTAGAGACAAGCGACCTTTGGTGCAAACTAGCTAACTGGACTATCTGATGAGGAGCTCTGGGTTCACATGAAAGACCCTGCCTCCATAAGTAAGGTGGAGAGTGATTGTCAACCACACACACGGACCTGCACATGCATACATATACATGTGAGTATGCATAGACACACACACACTCCAAGAATGAATACTGATATTGTATTGTCACTGCCTTTATTTCATAGAACCTATGGGAAATGAAAATAAAATACCATACTTGCTGTGGGACAATGGTCTGTAACCCTGTTACTTATATTTTAAATAAACGCTGATTGGCCAGAAGCCAGGCAGGAAGTATAGAAGAGACTACCAGGCAGGAAGTAGAGGTCGGACAAGAAGAACAGGAGAATCCTGAAAACAAGAAAGAGGCAGTCTGAAGTTGTCACCCAGACACAGAAGAAGCCAGACACAGAGCAAGCAAGATGTGACTCCCTCGCCGAAAAAGATACCAAGCCTCGTGGCTAACACAGACAAGAATTATGGGCTAATATAAGTTATAAGAGTTAGTAAGAAGCCTGAGCGAATGGGCCAATCAGTTTATAATTAATGTAGACCTCTGTGTGTTTCTTTGGGAATGAACAACTGTGGGACCTGGTGGGACAGAAACCTCAGTCAACACATACTAGTGATGTGTGGGAAGTTACCAATTTGATACAAATGAAACAGGTTATTTGGTGCCGTGCATGGAGAACTAACTTTATTTTCCTCCCATGTGACCCTCTCTAACATAAACTCTGTGTTGTGTTCAGCTATGATGGGAAAAAGTCAAAGAAAGCATAAGTGCACAATAAATTGCTGAAGACTTGTCTAAAAGAAAATATGTGATTAGGGATCACATACTGTTTTCAGGCTGACTAGACTCCTCTGGTGGGGTCTCTTTACAAGATTCTAGGGAGCGCAAAAGGATGAGATAGCTGGAAGAGTTCATAGTTTTAGTCTCCTCAGAGGTGAACCCAAGGAAAACATTTGTGAGTGTTTATTATTTTAGTCATCTTAGTTTGGATTAGATCCAAGGACTTCTACCACAGGAAACACATCATTCTCATTCACCAGAAGGCTCTGCAGTCGGCATAGTACAAAGAAGGTTCCCTGCTTTCTTAGATTCTTATTGCTGTGATAAAAATATCCCGACCAAAGCAACTTAAGGGAGAAAGGGTTTAGCTCACGGTTCCAAATAGTCTGTCATCATGGGTAAGTCAAGGGAGCCGCAGGAACTTGAATTAGCAGGTCACGATTATGTTCTCAATGAGAAAAGAGCAAAAACTAATGCGTGCATGCATAGGGCTCAGTTTCTTTTCTCCACTCAGACAGTCCAGAACCTCCTGCCTGGGGGGTAATTACGCTACTCATAATTAAGATGGATCTCCCTATACAAATGAACATAATCAATATTTAGAGAGATTCTACAAAGCCTAGGCTGACTTGAACTTCACACTCTCATGGCCACAACTTCAAAGTGCTGGGATTGCAGGTGTCGGTTACCACATCCCACATGGTAGGTGGATTCTTAAATACGATGTGAGCAGCTGCCTGCTTTTTGTCTTTTGTCTTCACCAGACACCAGGAGTAACAGAAACATTAGTGTACAAAGGAAATCTCTGATTTATTAGAATGTGAGTCACCTTTAAACGCGATTACATTTGCTAAGAATAAGCTGTGAATTTCATCTTTTCCCTTCTGCTTCCAACACTCGCAGTAATACAATATCAAATTTAGAATTTGACAAAAGACTAAGTACTTGGTTAAGAAAAAGTAGGATTCTTGCCAGAATATTGGAGAAGAGCCACAAAAAGGAACTTTAGGAAGAGAAGGGTGGGTGGTTGCAGAACCCTGAACTGCAAAGTAAGCCATATTCTGGGAGCAAATTTTTTAAAAGTTCAAGAATTCCTGAACATTTTCAGAGAACAAAACACGGGCTGACATCTTCTCGAATCATGGGAAGGTTGAGCCAACATCACTTTTTTCTTTAGGAGCTTCAGGTGTTGTTAATGCTCCAAGGATCTGCATACTTACATTTTAGAAACCATAGCATTCATTTGAGTTGCAGCCTGTCAGAAGCATTAGAGGGCGGTGGGCTATCTGAATGACCTACTTAGGGCCTGCGGGTCCAAGGACCGCCAGAGATCCCTCCTCGCAGAACTCTTCTTTTCTCCTAGGTCCCGCCTGGCCCCGGAGGCAGCGGTGCCAGGGTTTTGCAGGCGGCCGCAGGCTGCGGGCACTCCTTGCTCAGGCTCACCCTTTCACCCCTCCTTCACCCCAGGAGTGCCACGCCGGGTGGCGCGGTTTTTCTGACCACTAGGGAAGCTGTGCTGGCGAGGCCAGGAATTACAGGGCCTCCCTTCTTTGGTGAGCCTTGGCATCTGCGTCCTCCTGACCCTAGCCACTGCTTCTGAAACTCTAGTGTGTTCGAAAGGCGCAGGGTCTCGAAGAGAGCAGGTAGCAAGCCGGATTCCAGGAGGCCAGAACTTATCTTCTACCTTCCCCTGGGTCCCCACCTCCACTCCCTGTCGGGCCCGGGAGACGCCCCGCAGACGAACCAGCCCCAAACGCGCAGAAGTAGAGCTCCGCAGCGGGGACCGCCCGCCGTCCGGTCGCCTGGGACGTCCCCGTGCCGGGGGCGGAGGCGAGGGCGGCGGGGGAGGGGATTGGGGGTAGGGACGGTAGGCACCGAGTGCGGCCGGACCCTGGTCGCCCGCCCGGAGACTGGTAGAGGCGGAGGGCGCGGCTCGGGTTCTGGGGGCGGGGTCTCGGGCGCTGATTGGTGTGTGTTTGGGGGCGGGGCGGTGGGGCGGGTCCGGGGCGGGGCTGGCGCCAGGCGCTGGAGCCGAGGGTGCACGGCCAGGAGTAGCGAGCAGCTGGAGCCGAGTTGGAGGAAGCAGCGGCCACGGCGAGGACGGCTGTGCAACCAAAGAACCTGGACAGCGGAGCGCCGGCGGGTCGCGGTTGGATCGCAGGCGCCTGTGAGCTGCGAGCTTGAGAGGCCGCCGAAGCCCAGGCCAGGCAGAGGAAGGAAGCGAGCCGCTCCGGAGGTAGGTGGCGGCGGTGGGTCCCCGTGTGCCCGGGAGGGGGAGGCAGTGCGAACACGCTCGGCCGCTGCTCTTCCTGTCACCGGCAGCCGCTTCTGCTGTGGAGCCACTCGAGGGGAAGCGACCCAGATGCCAGCCCCCAGTCGCCAGCATCTCTCCGCCGCTGGAAAGCCTTCTCGGGCCAGTGGCTAGCCTGCGTGGTCGCGACCACCTCCTGCTGTCGTTTCCTCGGTGTTACCCGGCTTTACTCGCTACCGGGCGCATTCGGTCCCTGGAGTTGCCAGCTATCGCCGGCTCCCCTCCTCCTTCATCACCTCACGCTTCCGAGGGTCCCCTTTTGCCCTGCAGCTTCCTGGAACCGGGAGCGCGCGAGGAGAGCGCCTGGATCTCTGTCTTTGCAATAGCGTGACGTCCCCTCCAGGCCCGGCAGCTGCAGCCGGGGTCTCCGGCCAAGCTGGGCCACGGTGGTCCCCGGAGCTCGCCCCCAACCCCCGCCCTCCGAAGTTTGCCGCCCTCCTCTTCCGGGGTGGGGGAAGTGCGCCTCGGGGCGGTCGGTGGCTGGGGCTCTAGCTTGGCGTCTGGCGCCCGCCGGGCTTGGGCAGGTTGCTGGAGGCATAATGAGTGGGATCCTGGCACCGCCCGGAAATCCAGCTTTTCCTAACGCGGGGCAATCCTGGAGGGACCTGCCCAGCAATATGCTGCCGACCCGGGAGGGCCGGCCCTGCGTACAAGCCTAGGCTAAAATATCAGGGGGAATTGTCTGCAAGCCACTTCCTTCCCAAAGGCAGAAACTACCCGGCAGATCACGAGACAAAGAGAATAGAAACGCTCTGACCAGGCACGCATGTACAGAAATGCATTTTGGTTACCAGCTTTCGCGCACAATAATGCAAGGGTGTGAGCAGAGTGGCTGTGGCATGTTGAATGCTGTGTGCCGGCACTGGATTCAGGGGAATTCTGCTCCTGGCACTGCTAATACCGGAAAGGTCTCTCTTCCACCGTTAATTCTCGAAGGAGCTGCAGGCTCTGGTTCTGTACTGGTGTGAGTTTAGGTTTTATTTAGGGGTTTCATGGTTTTAGGGCTTAAAAATTTCTCCCCTTTCTTTCCCTGTCTTTCCCCTTTGTCAGACAGTGCGAAGTAGGAAAGGATAAAGCAGTTCCGGGTTTTGAATGTTGCATGAGATTGTCATTTTTAGTGAGATCGAGTTTCAAGTTTTAGGTGGTAGGAGCCTTCACAGAGCTGATTGACCTAGACTCCTTGGGGAGCCCTCTCTTAGTATTTCGTTAGCTCATAGTGTGTTTTGGACACCTTAAGTAAATTATGAGCAAAAAAAGCTTGGAGTAGTAGGCAGATGGGGTTATTTCTGCCACGGATTAGCAGCTTAATGGTTTCTAAAGTAGAAATCATTTTAGGACTTCAGGGCCTTCTGCACAGGTGAGGTGTCCCTGCATCGTTTGTCACTGAACAAGGAACCAGCACCCCAGGAGGTTTTTTTTTTTTTTTTTTTTTGCCAGTTACATTCACTGTTTTTGAGATAAAACAATGGTAAGCAAGTCGTTTTCTTAAGCACGCAAGTTGTTTAAAATTTGGAAAACAACTATTTTTGCCTAGTACAAAGAAAATGATCCTGATTCTTCTTGCACCGCTCCTGGTTCAAAGTCAGGTTGAAATAGGAAAGGCGAGTGGGGGAAAGCTCCTGGCTTTGCAGAAGTTCCCTGCAATGCCACCACCAGCCGCCTTCCCCTGTGCGCCTGTTGCAGGCCACACTTCTCTTCCATAGCAATCTGTCCGTTTTTATGATTTGAAGAAAGTTGGACTTAGCTGATCCTGGCTCTCAGACTGCTGTGGGAGAGTTTGCTTTTAACTTTCATCTTGCCCTGGGACTTGTTCCTTAGTTGCATAACAGAACTCTGCCATGTGCACATTGTTATCTGCTGTTTTATTTGCATTTTTTATGATAGCACTCTGCTTTTTCACATCTGTGATGCACTGTAGCCATGTAAAAAAGTATCTCACTGCCCACTGATCCAATGTGCTTTTTTCTTCTTTTTTTTTTTTTAATGAAGTTGGTTTGAGGAGAGAGCAATAGAACATGTTACAGGAATATGTATTTTGACTGCTGTTGGTGGGTTTATGCATGTATCTTTTGAAAATGTTAATTACACCTAAGCTGATGAATTGCTTTTTTTAAAAAAATTTTTGTTAGTGCATATTAATTTTTTGGAACTTTTTTCTTTCTTTCTTTCTTTCTTTCTTTCTTTCTTTTTTTTTTTCCCCCTTTTTGGTTTTTTGGGACATGTTTTTTTCGTGCAAAGCCCTAGCTGTCTTGGAGCTAGCTCTGTAGACTAGACTGGTCTTGAATGTACAGAGATCCACCTGCCTCTGCCTTCCAAGTGCTGGGATTAAAGGCAATGTACCACTACTACCTGGCAACTTTTTGGAACATTTTTATACATGCATGTTACACATTTTGGTCCTACTTACTCCCTCATTACCCTTTCTTGTCCCCTTTCCCCTGTCACCTAAATTTCTCAGAAGGCTTTGAATCTTAAGTACAAGTCTATGCAACTCACAAACTTTGTATCCTTAAAAGTGTTGGCTGTTCCTTTAAACTTTTGCCACGAACACCATGAGCTTTAAGGTTATAGTGTTGATTGAAATTTCCTTTCTGCCGCCCTTTCTCCTAAGTAGTTCAGGGGAGTGTTGTAAAAAGCATTCACTTTGAAAAATTGTCCACATACTTGTTAAAACAGAAACAATTCTGGTCCAGCTTTTATTGTGTTTGCATTTTTGATTTGCAAAATGTGTTTTATTGGATAGATAGTGAATGATCCAACTGGCGGGGGAATAGGGAGGAGGTTTATGGTCTAATTGACTATAGCCAGCTGAGCTAACGTTTGAGTGAGCTTTTACTTTTGACTGTCTCATGAATAAGAAGAACTTAGCCCCTGTCAGGCCATTATGTGTATTGGGTTGGCTACAGCCCAGAGCCCCTTGCATGGTGCAGGGTTTTGCTAGCAAAAGCAGGAATGAGGCAGCTGGTGAAGCTTTGAAAACTAGAAAGTCACCTGTCAGTGGAAGGGATTATCAGGTGTGTGTGTGTGTGTGTGTGTGTGTGTGTGTAGGTACCTTCATTATTTTGGAGGCAGTGTCGCAAGTTGTCCAGACTGGCCTTGAACTCTCTCTACTTGTAGCAGAAGTTGACTTAGAACTCTTGAGCCTTTTACCTCTACCTCCCAAGCCCTAGGGTTGGTTATAGGCTTGTGCCACCAAACCCAACTGTCAGTTTTGTTTTTACTTTAAAATTAGACAATGTAAATTGTATCATTTTTCCTTCTTGAAACCTCCGTTGTGATTGACTTTTAAAGTTCTCATTATTTATTGTGTTTTTTAAAGCCTCGTTTGTGTCCTCCCTAATGTGATTTTTTTTTTTTTTTTTGGTCATGGTTTTGCCAGCACTCTTACTGAAATCACGTGCCTGAAGTAGTGGCAATTAAAGACTATTTCTTGTACACTAAGGCCAAATGAACTGGAAAGTAGACTGTGTAATTACGTACAGCTAGTCTGTTTGGATTATGCTTTCTCTCACCCCCCACCCCACTACCTTCTGGTGAAATGTGGGGTGAGTGTACTACAACCTTAACTGCAGAAATAAAAAGGGCCTGTAAAAACATCTCCGGAGATTTTGTTCTGCCGCCATTGTTTTCCTTAAAGTCAATCAAATGTATAGCCATCAGCACCTGTAGTCAAAATAGTCCTCAGGTTAATGATCGCCTGGGAGAGAACTGAAGCCATAGGAACCTGGCAGAAGGTCAGGAGGCTCCGCCAATGGCCGTTGTGAGTTGGTAGAAGTCAGATGCCTTGCCGGGCGGTTCAGCCTTTGCCCCTTGCCTTCCTCCTGGAATGCCTCTGTGGCCCTGAGGACTGGGCTCGTCCCACGAGGACCCAGCTGCCCTCATTCTCCTGAGCATTGCGTTAGCGTGCTCAGATTTTCCTTTCTGAGGGCAGTCTAGGGAGCAGCCATGAAACCCAATTAGAGGACAGTGTCATGACTCCCACCTCGTGCCCTGTCACCAAGCAGGCTCCTGTCACCCTCCCTCCCACGTAACACCCCTCTGACCTCTACTCAGCTGCTTTCCACCTTGGGTCTGGAGAGAGAATTACTTGGGCTAAGTCCACAGGCAGGCTCTATCTGACTCTATTTACAGCAGGGTTTTATTTTAGGTAGCTTCGGGCTTCTTTTAGAACTGCTTGCAGCATTGAAAGGCAGCGCAAGAGAAAATTCCTGGCACCTGTCTGTTTCTGTTTTAAATCTGCATTGTGTAAAAGGCAGTGACGTTCAATGCTGATGTTGCTAGCAGTCCTGTCGTTCCTGAGAGCAGTCTGCAAGAGTGCCACCACTACAGTTGACTGTCACTTCAGGCACGCTATTTCACTCGCCTTGTTTTCCCATCTGCAAAATGGGGCTGAAAATTAAACCATGCAAGGCTCCCAGCACTGTGCCTGGCACACAGCGAGCCCCGAGTCAGGGATAATTATATAAAGCTTGTACCGAGAAGCATGGTGCTACGTGCTTTGTGAGTGTAATTGCCTTTAATCCTCATAATGACCTAGTGAGGGATAGGCCTACTTCTTCCAAGGCCGCACAGGTGACGAAATGATGGAGGGAGGGTTCTAGGACTTGCCAATAGCTACCTATCTAGGCAGGGATCAGGACAGCCCCTGTTAGCTACAGGGCAGAATTCACCCTTCCTGCCATGAATTTTAAGGACTCTTATTGTTCTCTCTCTCTCTCTCCTTCCTTTCTTTTTTAATTTTTATCTCTCTCTCTCCCTTCCTTCCTTCCTTCCTTCCTTCTTTCCTTCCTTCCTTCCTTCCTTCCTTCCTTCCTTCCTTCCTTCCTTCCTTCCTTTCTTTCTTTCTTTCTTTCTTTCTTTCTTTCTTTCTTTCTTTCTTTCTTGTGTGTTTCACAAGAAGAAGTACTTTAGGGCATCTCCCTTTGGTCATTCCTCCCAGGGCCATCATTTCAATCCCTCTCTACTGTGGTGGTGCAAGGAACCAGGCATATTGGTCTCATATCTTCTTCTTGGTGGAAGGATCCCCCTTCTTGGTCACATGGCCCTTCGTGTTACCCCTCTCTCCATCCTGACCCTCTTAGTCTTAGAAGGACTGCTGTGAGTGGGCCAGAGGAACCCTCTCTTCTTGGTGTGCTCAGGGACACCTAGTGCTGTAACCACTTTGCAGCCTGTCTCTTTACTGTGTTACCTGGATATGTACTCTCTGCCCCTAAAGGGCTTGCAGGCAGGAATTACACACCCTACCTACCCACATTAGCTACCCAGCCTGGAGTGGGGCAGCAGGCAGTGCATTCTGCCTAGCTCATTGCTTTCCAAAGGAATGAAGATATCAGATGCTGTAACACTGGGCTTACATTGAGCCCATCTTTTTCATCCTATTTTAATTGAAGCTATTCAATCCCATCACTTTATATGTAGACTCATGGTCTTTCATAGACTCCTAGGTCAGTTTAATAGTTAATAACTTCAAGAATTTTGAAAGGTAGACATATTTTCAAGTAACAGTTCTTGTTGCTCAAAAGACTGTAAGTTGAGGTGGGACGTTTATTATAGACTCTGAGCTCTGTCACACTAAGGGGGGAGGTTGCACATGGAGGTGCAGGCTACCCACCTTGTCTTGGCTATAGAGCCTTTTGGTGCTGCCACCCAGTGTCACGCTGCTAATTTCATCACAGAATAGTGATGTATAAGTAGATATCGCCTTGTCTTTTTGTTTGTTTTTAATTTTAAATGCAGTTTGAGGAGGTCCATTATTTCTGCCTCCCCACTCGGTTTCCCAAATCCTGTCCTTTGTAAAAGGGGAATATAATAACGCAACAAAACCAGAGGGCTGTTCAGAGTGTTTGGTTCTTTCTCATTGTGCCTGCAGATTAGAAGGTTAAACTAAAAATACATAAATAAATAAATAAATAATTTTTAAGCCATTGTACATTGAGCAGTCACCGATTTGTAATTGTCAAGCCTTAGAAACAATTTTATTTGGGCAAATAAAATAAAAATTGCTCAGTGTGTTAGCAGAGAAAGAAAATTTACTTCTAGTGAGTGAGACTGTAGACAGCTATGAAAGGATTGAGAGACTGGAGCAAAATAATAATAATAATAATAATAATTCCCATAAGGCAGTTGCATATGATCTTGTATAAGAATAAGTTACTTTTCAGTTTCTTACAGAATTCCTTTATGCTCCTTTGGGGGGGATACAATATCCTAGCCTAGCTTACAGTTTACAGCATAAACTTGCCTGGGTATCTGAAAGTACTACTTTGTTGACAGTGACTGTGGTCCACATACAGAGTGAATCAAGGTGGGAAGAGCTCACTGGGCAGGTGTTTGTAGTCGAAGAGAGTGGGAGGCAGAATTCAGTGAAAGTGGGAAATAGCTGTGAGGTCCAAACTCCAAATTGATCTCAGGCGGGCGACACGGGCACTCCCCATGCTTCAGGCTGCTAGGTGCTGCAGTCCTGGGGACAAAGCAAGGGAGAGCTTGCCAGCCCTTGTGACTCTGAGTTGAGGCTTTGCTTATCTCCCCAGGGAGGAGCCAAGGTTTTAGAAACTGTGCAGTAAGAGGCCCAGGAGAGTAGCACAGGGCAGACAGGCCAGGAGGAATACAGGTGGCAGGAGCTTCCTTTGCAGGACAGAGAAGGGCAGGTTTCCAGAAGTGGGCGGTCGTCCAGCAGTGATGGGCTCAGGATTCTTTTATTCCCTAGTTTATGGACTTCCTAGGCAAGGATGTCTTTTAATGGAGTCGTGTTGGAGGACATTGGCATAGCTGAGGTGGGAATAAGTTGTGGTGGTCTTCAAATCGGGGCTTCCACACGTGGACTGGATCTGTAGTTAGGTTCTGCATCTGGTGCCGAGTGCAATCACGCCCGAGACGCTAAACTTCCCCAATTGTCAAGTAAGAATATCTAGAGTACCTTGGTTACTGTGGGGATGGAAGGGGTTAATGGAGGCACAGCTGGCAGTAGATATCACGTGATGCCAGTTGTGATAACACTGCCTCATTTAAATGGGTATGGCAGGCCCAAGAAGTGTACCAAGTGCAGTCAGAGAGGGCTGCTTGCCTTCTCTGCCGGGCCAAGGTCTCGCTGAACCTTGTCACCACAGGACCAGGTCCCCACCCAAGTGAATGACTTGTATGCTCACCCTCTTTTTACAACATTGCTTCTAGACTGCTTCCCTGACACCCAACCTTAACCGTCTGCATTGATCATCCTGGCCTTGTTCTACTTGCTGTCCCAGAGTCATGTTCAACTTGCAATCTGCGAGCCCTAAGAGATCTGGGGTTTCTGGATCAGAGTCAAATCCGGGGTTCTGCAGAGCTTTTAAGATTCTCTCACCAGCCAGCGGCAGGGAGAGAGCATTGGCCCAAGCTTAGAGGCCTTGGCATGCAAGGTGGGGATTGCTTCTCGAGAATCTAGCCTTCAACAGTTATCAGACTCCTCCCAGAGTCTCGCCCCCTTCTGTGGACTTAGCCCCAGGCACAATCAAGAGGCTCTCAGGGTCAGAAAGCCCTGAAAAGGCAGGGAGCAGTTTCTAAGTTGCTGGTGTGGAACGTGCCTAACTGCATCATTGTGTTGTGTGCTAGGGGCTTGTTTCACGGGGGCTGGAGGCATTGCATTTCCTGTTCTACTGAGAAGCCCACCAAGCTGGTCCTCTGGGTGGTTGCAATTGAGGAAGTGCAAGGCACCAGCTGGCAGAAAGATCAGCCCTGGCTACTGACTTAGGACTTTCCCCTCCCCCACTAAAAGACATACATTGCCAGGAAAAGCTAACAAAAATTTCAGGGCAGATTTGAAGGAATTAAATTATTCTTAGGCATATTGCCTGGTTTCCAAGCTTTTAGGGATATGTAAATATTCATGTTCTTTGGAGTTCTGTGTCTCTTTTGTACAGAGCACATTAGTACAAAAAAAATGAGATTTGCTAGTTCTACATTTTTGTGTGAATTTATGCAATGAATATTTAATTTGATTCTGGATCTTTCAGAAGGAGAGGTTTTCTTCAAACGTAATCTAGCTTATTTTCTTTATACGCTCCACTGGCCGCATTAATTTTTACCCCCTCTGATGCCTGAAATGCAAAGTAGAGCACTATCCCAAATTAATATTCTCGCTACACAAAGATTTCCAGTGTTTGTTTTCACTTCCTTTTAATATGCAGCCCTCCTTAGAGCGTTGTTGTATAAAGCTAAGAGGCTTTAGCCATGTGAAGTTGAATGCTTTACACTTCTGAATGCCAACACAACAATTAATCTGTGATTAGATTTTGCTCCTTAAGACGCCGGCACTGAGGAGTGACTGTAACACTCAACTGCTAAAGTGTTTCTCTCTCCTAAACTTAGGAAAGTCTCCTTGATGGGACACAGGCCCGTGTGGCTGTGTTTGTATCACTTTTTTGTACAGGTGGCTGAACTGAAACCTTTAGCTTGAATTTAGTCTCTGCAGTAAAGGTAGCCTTGATCAGTACATGGGGTGCAGCGTGGATCTACAGTGCCTGCTGTCCTACTAGCCATCCAGGATGACTAAAGCTCTCCGGGATTGCTCTGCCCCCATATGCTTGGCAACTGAAAGACAATGTTTGTCATTACTCTGGCCTCCTCCGCCAAGCCTGCTTTACATAGTACTTCCGCAGCAGCGGCAGCGGCAGCAGCAGCAGCAGCAGCAGCAGCGGCGGCATGGCTACTTCCTTTCCTATCTTAACTCCTTAAGATCTAGCGGTATCCTCACTATGGGCCTGCAATCTGGCATCCAAGAAAGTCAGTGATGGTTCCTGCCCCACTGAAATCAGCTCTGCTTACAATGCCTCCGGTGTCCTCCTGATTTCAGCCGGAGTTTTCGGCTGGTCACTAGTACTTCTGCTGTGGCTGTCTCTATCCCATGAGCCTAGCAGGTCTCTTGGCTCTCCTTTGCCTAATATTGGTACAGAATTAATTCTCAGCAGCCCAGGGTCAAGCGCTTGCCCCCTTGCTTCTGCCAGTGAGCCTTGTCCACCTTCCACACATCCCCCCCCCCCCAATACTGTGTACCACTTCAGTCTATGCCTTTACAGGCCCGCTGCCTCCTCTCTGTCTCTGTCTCTGTCCTCCCTTTCTCAGCAACCCTCTCTTCCATTCTTTCCCTGTGCCGGTCCCTCCTGGGCATCGAGGCCAGACTGGGATTCCTTCGTCCTGTGACAGCTTCCCCGAATCGCTGTGCAGTGTGCACTGTCGAGGACTGACTTACGCTGGCTGTCTGTGTGCATGGCCCGATTGCCTTTCCAACCCAGGTTCACTGTTCCCGCTTTGTCTTCTGATGGATGAGACTGCCTTTGCGTCTTTCTGTACTATGACATTTGCTTGGTCTGTCTGTAGCCAGGAGCATGCCTCGCATTCCATTCTGGCTGCAGATTCCTGCAGTGTGGTCTCTCTCTCTCTCTCGAACCCCATGGCGTTTTGTGTCAGCATCTATCATGACATTTACCTACTGTTTTGGTTCCTTGTGTACTGGTCTTATCTCCAGAACATTGCCAAGCGCTAGGGCTCCATCTCCTGTCCCGCCCAGTGTTCTTAGAAGGCAGGGCCTGTCTTGCTAATCTTGGTGGTGTATACTGTGTCAAGCAGTCGCACACTGGCCCGTGTATGTAGCCTGCCAGAGTGATTAAGTACTTGTTGAATGGAAGTAGAAATTCAAATCCCCACAGATGGCAAAGTGTGATGTTCATTCATAAGCCTGGTTTCTGCTTTGCTAGGTGAAGCTGAGAGGGGAGTGTGGCAGTAAAATCAGACGACAGATGGACAGTGTGACAAGAACGTCAGAAAGGATCGGGCCTCGCTGCGAGAGTCAGCCTGGAGTCGAGGTGTTGACAGGCCGCTGAGAAGGACACCAGGGCGGACTGCGGCATGCCGAGGGAGTAAAGCCTTGTCTTCAGTCACACCATTGATGGAGGACAGATGGACAGCCGGACGGCCAGTCAGCTCTCTTAAGCCTTTGGATAGCGGTCCTTCGTCCTCGGCTGGCCACCCGTTAGGGATTTTAGCCCATTCTGTGAACTCGCTTCCCCTCAAAACGTAAACTCAAGACTGCGGTGTACGAGCCGACTCCTCTGTTGCCCGGTGACAGAGCTGCAGACATGAGCGCCGAAGGGTATCAGTACCGAGCGCTGTATGACTACAAGAAGGAGAGAGAGGAGGACATCGACCTGCACTTGGGGGACATACTGACCGTGAATAAAGGCTCCTTATTGGCTCTTGGATTCAGTGATGGCCAGGAAGCTCGGCCTGAAGATATTGGCTGGTTAAACGGCTACAATGAAACCACCGGGGAAAGGGGAGACTTTCCGGGAACTTACGTTGAATATATTGGAAGGAAAAGGATTTCACCACCCACTCCCAAGCCCCGTCCCCCTCGGCCTCTTCCTGTCGCCCCGGGTTCTTCAAAAACTGAAGCAGACACGGAACAACCAGGTCAGCATGACGAGTATGCAGTTGTTTAATAACCTTTTGTTTTTAGGTTTGTTTTTTTTTTTTTTTTTTTTTTACATTTTTTAATTGGTAAAATCTTAGATTTGAGCTGGGACATTAAGCTCTGAGTAGAAGTCATCTTGGCAGTTTGACATGAACTGATATAGTATATAAAAGTTTGGGCGACCATGACATGGCTTAGAAGTTTGCTTTTGTGTGGTTGGGAGCTTGTATAAATTGGGAGATGGTGTCTGAGAGCCTGTTTAGTGAGTACCATTAAACACTATTATTATAGTGGCCATTGACTTAACGCAGGCCTCCTATTCTTATGGCTGTTATTGCTTTGGGAAAGCAAAGGGTAAGTCTAGTATAAGCATATTTAATATTAATGTGGTTTGCATGGAAAAATGTCGAGTCTTGTAGTGACCACAGAACTCAGCAGAGAAGAAACCATTGTTTTTCTAACCTAGAATCTGCCCCTGGGTTTCCTCTCGAGGCTTGGGGTTAGCATAAAAGGAAAGGGGCTTCTGTTCCCACAAGGGCCGTGCCACTGTGGCAGTATTGCCAGTCATCTGCTTGGCTCCAGCGAGGAGAAACTCAGGCTCACTGGGTACTTCTTTTAAATGGAGGCTACCTCCATTCAAAATCCATGTGCTGGAGATGGCCTGGCCTTGGGCTTGGACACAGCTGTTCCTGGGTAGATTTTCTTTTCTTTTTTTATATATATATATTTTCAGTTTCTCACTGAGATGAGCTTCACGTTCAGCTTTGGTGCTGTCAGTTTTGTTAGATACTGTTTCTCACTAGTAAATCTCGGGCCCCTTTTGGAGGGGAGGAGGTGGCAGGGGTGGCGTAGTCTTTCTCCCCACCCCCAGAGACTCCGAAAGGAATAACCAGGTTCGTTAGACAGGTGAAGCTGCTGAGCTGTGGTTCCATACTGAGCAGAGCTGCACGGGGCCTGCACAGGAGGCTTCTGGAAGGGTTTCGAATCAGGTGAAGGAGCGCAGGAGAAGAAAGAGGCAGATTTCAGGGTGAGAGCTGCCTTTAGGCACTGGGCAACAGGGTGGAAAATGTTCCAGAGGGCAGATTTGAGATATCCCCGAAGGTCTGGCTGCTCTTTTGGCCTCCTGCATTGGACTCCAAAGGGATACTTGTTCTGAGAATGTTATACTATGGTTTTAAAACTGTACCAAGTTAAAAAAAAAAAAAAAAGCTTTTTGGTTTTTCAATCAAACCAGAAAGTCTTGAACTGTGCATTTGTTCGGGGCACTGACGGTTTTCTAAGTGCTGTGTTTCTCCCATATTTTGGTTTAGCAGACTGAAGGTTTACAAGTCCTTGGTTTTCTCTCTATCAAATAACAGCTTTCTGACCCGACTTCTCTTTGCCATTGTTGTTTGGGAGATTTGCTTACTTTCATTGTATGCCGTGTGTGTGTGTGTGTGTGTGTGTGTGTGTGTGTGTGTGTGTGTGTGAGAGTGAGACTGTGTGTATATGCATACCACAGGCATGCAGGTGCCCACAGAAGTCAATAGAGGGCGCCAGATCCCCGGAACTGGAGTTACAGTGATGTCACAAGCTACCATGTGGGTGTTGGGAAATTACACCCAAGTCTTCTGGAAGAGCCGCCAGTGTTGAGTCGCTTAGGGCTCTCTCTGCTCTCCTGACTTCTTATTTTTTTATTAAGCTAGAAACAGTTAAGTAGGTTCATTTAAGAAGAAAAATGACCTCGTTGCACCCCAAATACAAAGGGCTGCAGAACCATAAACAAAAAAGCTCAGCTGAGTTCGAGATGACTCATGAGGTGGAGCTGAGGGTGCCAGGTCATAATTACTGACGAGAAGACTCTGTGAAAAGTAGTTTCTAGACAAACACATATTCGATAACGTGCCCCGTATAAGTTTATTCGACTGTCATATGCAGTCGAGGGATGAGACCGACAGGAAAAATGACCCTCTTTTCTGTAAGGCGTGGAGCTATTCACCGTGCGTTCGTTCTCTGGTGAGCACGGAGGTTTTTAACAGCCTTTTCATTTTTCTTTCCGATATGTGGAAAGAGAGAAAAATGAAAAATTATAGTAGGATACAAGAAGAGGCCCGTCATGATATGTGTGGAAATATTAGGAAGAATGGGCCTGAACGTAAGTGAGAAATTCGGAATAACTGGAAGGTCGGGAAGACAGTGGAAGGAAGGGGTCACCAGGAGGGCACTGTACTAAATGTTCATCAGATACTCTAGGAACGTTAGCCTCATAGTCTCATTTACATATGATTCATGTGCCGTGGGAGGTCAGCAGTCCCGGGTTGGTACCGCTGCAGCTTTCTTTTGCCCAAGAAATATTCATTTCCAAAGCTTTGGTAGCGGAAACTCGTGTGACGGCAAGAAAAAAAAAAGCGTTCTTTCTCTTTTCACTTTTCCTCTTACAGAACAGACGTCCTCAGTCTTGTCATTCTCCTGTGGACTCTCTCCATCTAATGTGGCTTCTTTTGAATCCTCTGCTTTCTTTCTCTCACCTATAACCCCCCCCACACACACACTTCAAGCCTAAGAACTGGGTATCGTTCTCTCCTCTGGGCACCTGGACCCCAGATGCCGTTGATGGGCGGTGATGTCAACAGAGGAGGCTTGGACCAGTATGCATCTTATCCATGTTTCTTTTGGCCTGTTGATTCTCCACAACCCTGGGCATCCCCTTTTCTCTTCCTCATGTTTGAGAGGAGGTCCTGAACTCCTAGGCTCCGGTCATCCTCCCCCTCTACCTCCCAAGCACCTGGGACTACAGTTGTGTACCCACTGCTCCTGGATTACCATCTGCATTTCGAAGACTTTAACTCTGGCCCAAAGTAGACTCCTTTTGAGTTCTTCCTCCCTATGCCGTAGAATCCACCTTTCTCTTGCCTTGTAGTGCACGCATTTCCAAAGAAGACGGACATTTAGTTGTGGGGTTGAAGAAGCAGGTATTTTCGTGAGGACAAGCAGGCCCAGGTATGTAGCTAAGCTACTGAGTGCCAGGTACAAAGTAAATACTCTGTAAACGTCAACAACAAAACACAGCCTAGATGAACATCTGAGCGAGGAGCTCCTCTCAGGAAACGTGTCCCTTCTGCCAAAACGTTTTGCACACGGTTGTTTGGAACACCCTGGCCTGTGCAATGAATGAGTTTATTTCTCGAACCGTCTTGGACTGAGGGCATCACATTCATTCAGTAAACACAGGTGGGGTTCCTAGTTTGTGCTAGAAAGCAAAGCAGCAGACGAAATGAAGACGTTTTCCACGCCCATTCCCTCCTGGCTGTGCTGCCCTCTCAGCTCCAGCAGTCTTTCCTAGATCGCTCATCTGCTGACCCCCTCCGCTTCTCACCGAAGCTGGCCCTGCTGCCCCTGCCCCTCTGCTCTTTCACAGTGGTCCTGGTCCCCTGTGAGCCGGCTGTGCAACACAGTGCACTAGGGTCTCGTCCAGCGATGAAACCCCATGCTGGGGCCTGATCCATCAGCTACAACATATGTACGTGTGTCATGTGTAGGTGCACAGGCCGGATAGCTCAGCCTGCTTCTGGCCTCACCTCCCAGGTACCCTGCCGCTTTGACCTACAGCACTGCCTGTTGTGCCTCAGAAGGCTTATCTTCTGCCCCAGCCCTTGGGACAGATCGTTCTGCCTCTGGAAAAGTGGGTGACGCTGATAGGGAACAGAAGGTGTGTCTTATCAGCGGGTGACCTGGGTGGGGCACAGATTTTGTATTATTTGCAGCGCCCTCCCCCTTTATGGCTCTTTCTTTGCATGAGGGTTGCACTTATCACTATGAGGTTCATGTTTTATTCCACCTTCCTGTAACCTAGCGCCCCACTTGAGGTTCTATAGGGGCGACCTTTGTACTGGTTTGCTTGTTTGTTTGTATGTATGTAACCTGTATGCTTCACACGGAGGCACACAGCAGCGATCTGGCCCCTCTGCCTGAGCTATTGGGTAAAGGCATTCTGTCTGACACGCAAGCTGACGCTGTTGGGGACTCATGTTTCCTCTCCAGTACAAGGAAGTGAGTCAATCGTAGGTGAGGATTTAGGGATGGGAAATACAAGCACATTCTTCTCGTGCGGAAATTGTCTGCCGCGCTGTTTAGCAACTTGAACACATACTTTGCAGTCCTCCAGGTGATGGCAGGCATTGGCTGGATACTTCATCTTGTGAGCTTCTGGCCGAGACAGTTTGTGTAAATCCGTAAAATCTGCCAACTTGAGGGGCCCCTTGGGCACCCGAGTTTACATAAACCTCAGGCATGCCCCGTGCACCCATGACCCTGAGGTCTCCTGACAGCAGGCCCTAGCTGGCTTCATATATAAAACAAAAAGCAGACATGGGCTTGAACTGTTTGACATTTTGATCAAAATCCTTTCTAAATACGAAAAGAGCAGAGCCTGCGTTCTGTTTTCACGGATCCCCGGGCATGTTTTCTTTATGTTTTTCACACCCGGGCCTCTGAGTGTCCCTCCATGCCTGTTCCTCCTTGTTCGAAAGCAAGGCTGCAATAAATCACATAAGTCAACTCTGCACCACCCAGAGGTCATAGAAAGGAGAGACCTGATCCCAGATTACACACCTTGGTGTGGTGCCATGTCCTGAATGCACGATTCTTTGCCGGTGATATCAGACAGGAAGGCCCGTTTCAGAACAGGTCTTTTTTCTCCTTTTCTTAACTTTGTCCACCTTCTTTCCTCCTCTCAAGTATGGCATCACCAGGAAGCTGGAGGACTGTCTCGGGCATCCGACTTTGGGTGGTGGTCCCTCCCTTGTTCTGCGTTCTGTATCTGTGATATTCTGCAGAGAAAGCAGGACAAGGTACAGGACCTCTGATGAGAGGGCCCTTGAGCCTCCCATCTTCTCTGCTTCTGAATAGCCAGAAAAAGCTTAAATGTTTGCCTTCTATGTTTTCCTAGGAAACAGAATATACTTCTTGAAAGATGGTCAGTGTAATTGATTAATCACAAATGTTTATTTTGATTGTTGTT